GATTATTGCTGTAGACATCAGATCCTGCTCAGTGTTTGAAGGGTACTAACAGCAGAGTTTCAAAGGGATGTGATTTGCATCATCAGAGCAAGATGTTTTCCTTCTCTTTGGGGAGATGTGTGTTTACTGCAGCCCTGCAGTTTTCCCCTGAAGCTCTGAACTGGCTGCAGCCCCCGGATGTTTCTCCATTGGAGAATTCACACAACTCATCACATGAATCATTGGAGAGATTTAAGATACACTTGGCTCTGAACTGGCTGCAGCCCCTGGATGTTTCTCCATTCACACAACTCATCACATGAATCATTGGAGAGATTTAAGATACACTTGTCTTGCAGCCAGCTGTTATCAAATCCCCACACTTCAGGTGGGTTGCAATTGGCTTGGAGCTGTTTTACCAGTTTAATCTCCACGGGAGAAACTCTCCTGTTGCTTGTGAAACACTCTGAAATCCTCTGGCAGCGTTGGAGGGAGAGAGAACACAAGGTGTGATGAGCAAAGTGCTTCTGAACACCCAGATAAGCTGTCCTGGGCACGCCTGCCACCCAAAACCGATGTTGCCCTGCACTTTTTCTCCACCTTTCTCAACCCAACCCAAAACAAACCAATCCAAACTGCTTCTCCATGGTTTTATTCGTTAGTAAACTTACTCAGCATAAATAATACGAGCAGCCGTTCAGTACGGCCGGCACCTGGCGGAGGGAAGAGCTCTGGAATGGCCCTCCAGGGGTGGCTTTGGGGACAGCAGAGCAGCGCTCACTTCCTCTGGGCTCCTGCGATGGCCGGTTTGTCCTCGCGGGTGATGGGGATGCTGCGCTCGGGGACATCGCTCTGCTTGCGGGGAGCGCTGACGGTCAGCACCCCGTCCAGCGACAGCGACGACGTGATGGTCAGCGGGTCCACGTCGTCCGGGATCCGGTATTTCCTGCTGAACTCCCTGGCGATGAAGCCGTGCTCGTCCTGAGCGAAGGGGAGGAGGAAAGTCGTTACCACGCAGCTTTTTAATTATGGAGTATGCGCCCGGTGCCGCCTTAACCACGGGGTCATGCTCAAAGGGAGTTGGGGCTTTCAGAGGAAACATTTCCAGGGAGTTAAAAGGGTTTTGAGGATGAGCTGGAGTGGGGCAGTGCCTGCAGAGTTTACAGGGGGAGGCTTTGTGCCCGCCCTGTGCCAGCCAGAGGCTGCCCTGCACTCTGTGTGCCATTCCCCAGGTGCCACTCCAGCCACACCTGCCCCGGAGACCCTGATTTATCTTCTTAGCCAAAAAGGATTCCAGAAATGGTGTCAGGATCCAGGCCCCCAGTGCTGCAGGAGCACTGCATCTCCTGGTGACACGCCGTGCTCCTAGGGGTGAGAATTCCAGGGACACAGCTGCTTTGGGGACTGAAAAATGGTGTTACATCCAGCTCTGGGCTTGGCTTTGTGTTTCTGCCTGCCCAGTGTCCACACAGGTCTCCAGAGCCAGCAGGGAGAGGGATGAATGACAGCAGAACACGACTTTTAAGGATTGGAAACTGATAGCTGGGCCTAGGAAAGGTAACACACAGGGCAATGCACTGATTTTTTATGTGGCTTGATTGTTACAGTTAATTTTTAGCTCGTTGGACACCTCCCTGCATTCCTGGCCTCTTCCCAGAAAGAGGGGAAGCCCAAAAATGCCCATTTCACAGATGATTTTCCAGTTCAGTTCACAGTTCATGCAACATCAGCAATAAACCTCCACCCTCTTGCTGCCCTGTCTGGGATCAGCTGGGGGGGTTGCATGGAGCATCTTGATAAAAAAATAATAACAAATATTTGAGATGAGCAGGGGGTTGTTCTGCAGCCACCAGGGGTGAGAGTGACTCCCTCAGAGGTGAATTAAAGCAGGGGTACCTGGCGCTCCTCGTGCTTGCCGTGGATCTCGATCATATCCCCGAGCACCTTCACCTTCAGCTCCTCAGGGGAGAAATGCTTCACATCCAGGTTCACATAAAATTTGTCCTTGTCCAGTCGCATCTGCAAAAACCAGGAGGTGACTTCAGAAAAGAGCAAAAACAAGGAGGTGACTTCAGAAAAGAGCAGGTGAGGGTTTCAGCTTAAAAAACAATGCAGTGGGTCGAGGCTCAAGCTGGTCTCTACACACACACTGACCTCTGTTTTGGGATCTGATCTGAGTGCCTCTGTCCCCTGCTGGCCTTGTGCTAATGCCCATCACTGCAGGACCTGAGATTCTCCACCTGAATTAGTTAAAACTGACTCTTGATTTAAAGCTGACTCTTCATTATGGCTGCTGCACCGGGCAGCCAGAGCCAGGTCACTAAATCAAGAGGGACATTATGCAAGGATTAAAGTAATACTTTCACTCCTTCTGCTCGGAATAGCTCCTCAAGCTCCTTGTAAATAAGACAGTTGACTTGCAGGACAGGCAAAAGCCTCTTGGCTCAGCCTCTGGGTCCTGGATCTTATTAAAACGCTGCTTTTCAGGGCAGTGATTGTTTAAAATGGGCCCTTTTCCCTCAGCAGCCATGGGCTCCTGCTCTGCCTGGCATGAGGACCCCACTGCCCCTGTGCTCTTCATTTCTCAGGTGGGAGTGGGATTGAAAGTTTGGTGCAGCAGAGTGGGAAATTAGGGAAATTAGAGAAATTAGGGAAGTTAGAGAAATTAGGGAAGTTAGGTTCCCTCCTTTCCTCTGCCTGCTCCTAGGGTGATCTGAGCTCTGTCCCCATCACTATGGCCACACTCGCTCCATTCCAAACACGCAGAGGTGCAAACACAGCACCTTTTTCCCCGGCCTCTTTCCTTAAAAACAAAACCACCTAGGAGCATCCTCCACATTCTCAGCTCTCCTGGGCCCCCACCAAGAGCCCGAAGAAGCAAAGATTACCTCCGAGAGTCCTGTCTCTAGCCAACTGGGCATCCGAAGGATGGGGGATCTCATCAGGAAGGGGCTGAAGCTGGGGGAAACAGGGAGCAGCTCCGACTCGGGCAGGTGCTCCCCAAAAATCTGGTCAAAGATACGACTCGGTGCCAACCAAGAGAAGAAAGGTCTGCGGATCAGGGGGTTGTGGATGGTGATATCCATTGGAGAGCGCTGGAGGAGCCTGGCAAACAACTGTGCTGCAGTGCCGTGCCGGCAGCGGGGACAGCTTTATACCCGTGCAGCTGGCCTGGCCTTCCACCCCCCCGAGGCCTCTTGAACAGTGGTGTCAGGGATTTTATTGTCCCACTCCTGGGCCGGGCCCTTCGGCGGTGCCCAGTAGCTGTCTGAGGGATTTGAGCGCGCTGCTGAGGAGGAGGGGGAAGGGGAGAGGAGGAAGAGGAGCCCAATGGGGCAGCAAGAAGGCAGAATGGCCCGGTGCCCGCCCTGCTGCCCACGTGCTGTTTATCCACAGTCCTGGGCAGGCTTGGCCCGTGGTCCAGCTGCCCTGGATGCCAGCGGGATCAATGCAGCTCCTATCTTTGGATAGGAGGAGCAGGACAAGGGGCCCTTGTTCCCAGGACCTCAGCATCACCCAGCAAGGCTGAGCCTGTCCCGGCAGCAAAGGGAGCCCCAAAATCAGGGCTAGGGAAGGTGCCAGGAGGGCTCTGCTGGCATCCTGGCACTGCAGCTGTGCAGCCCAGCGAGCCCTGCTGCCCTCGTGGTGGGTGTGAATCAAGGATGGATCTCTCCACCAACACCACTTGTCTTTTGCCCACTGCAGAGCACATTGTTCTGGAGGGAAGAGCCCCACGCTGTGAGCCCAGAGAGAACCTGGGCATGGTCCTGGCCTCCAGGGTGCTGCCCTGCTCCTAGGAGTGCAGATCACCTCTGCCCCTGCACCCAGGGGTGCAGATCACCTCTGCCCCTGCTCCCAGGGGTGCAGATCACCTCTGCCCCTGCTCCCAGGGGTGCAGATCACCTCTGCCCCTGCACCCAGGGGTGCAGAACACCTCTGCCCCTGCACCCAGGGGTGCAGATCACCTCTGGCCCTGCTCCCAGGGGTGCAGAACACCTCTGCCCCTGCATTAACCTGCTTTCCTGCAGCTCTCCCCCTAACAATTCACACATTTGCTTTAATTCCTGCCTTGCCTGTGAACCCAAATCACAGCTTAGCTTCTGTTGAAGGGCAAGAGCTTCTCTGCCTGTGGGAGCTCACAATTCAAACACAATTTCTGGCTCAGAGGCACTGCCAAAGGCTCTGAGCCTCTTCCTCTCGGCTTGCCTGCAAGAATAGGGAGCAGGATTTGCTCTGTGCAGCAGCCCAGGCCATAAATACCCTCTCCAAGTCCCCATTACATCAGCAGCACTGCACCTGCTCTCCTGCACGGCAGGGCTCAAGGCAAGCTCTGCTTTCAGGGTGTGCAGAGCTCAGCTGGGCCCCCCTCCCCTGCTGCAGCCCACCAGCCCTGCTCAGTAAAGCTGGATTTAGGCCAGGCTCAGAGCCTGGTTAACTGGCACCAGCATTGCTCCATGGCCTTGTGCCAAACCCTGGCCAAGGGAAGAGCCTGGGCAGCAGCAGGGCTCAGGCTGGGGAGGTGACAGCAGTGGGACCTGGGTCCCTGCTTCCTCCTGCCCTTCACCACTGCAGGAGCAGAGACTCGAGCTCAGCTCCTGGGGAAATCAGGCTCCTCACGGAGGGGTTTGAGCCCCAAGCTCTCAGTGGGCAATGGGTGTGGGCAGAGGCTTCATTGCATGAGCTGAACAAGCCCCAGCCACCCACGGGGGCTCAGGGCCACCAGTTCCAGTGTCAGGGACTCCCTGAGCTGCTCCAAGGAGCCTCTCTTGCTTTGGAGCAGCAGAGCCTGGGGTCTGTCCTGCTCCCCTCAGCCCCTGAGTCCGGGCTGGGCTGGGCTGCCCATCCACCCCCTGCTCCAGGAGGGGTCCCCAAGGTGTCCCTGAGGTGTCCCCTGCCCTCCCTGCTGGAATGCAGAGAGAAGCTGCCCTGGTCTGGTGTCCTGGGGCCTGCACGGGGCTATTTTGGTCCCTCTTTTTTATCACTCACTCACTCCTCCCTTTGGAATCCACCCAGCTGGAGCCTTGCAGCCTGCAGCCCTCACTCGGAGAGGCAGCGAGGGCTGGGAAGGAAGGCAGACAGGAAGGAAGGAAGGAAAGAAGGAAGGCAAGAAGGAAGGTGCCTGTCCTGGACACGCCATGGCCGCCCGCACCGTGCCCCACGCCTACCCCATGAGCGCCGAGTACGAGTTTGCCAACCCCAGCAAGATCTATGACCAGAACTTTGGAGAAGGTAAGGAAGGAGGTGGGATCCCCCCCTCTTTGCACCTTTCTCCCCTCTGCTGCTGCAGGGCTGGTGGGATTCCCTCTGGGGAGCTTGAGCTCCAGAGGGGGAAGATGGAGCTGGGGAATTTTGAGTGCAGGAACCCAGATCCAATCGAGGGGGAACAGCCAGGAAAAAAAACCAAAAAACAGGGAATAGACAGGGAAAAAACAGGGAATAGACAGGGAAAAACCAGGGAATATCCAGAGAATAGCCAGGGTCTCTCTCTTCATGTCCACTTCCCCATCCATGCCCCTGCTGCCCGTCCCTCCCTCCCTCGTGCCAGCCATGCTCTGGCATTCGTGCACATGCTGTGAAAACATGGACCAAAAGCGCCCAGGGGAGGGGGGGGAAGCTTTTCCAGCCGGGGGGGATGTGGAGAAAAGCTGAGCTGGGGCGTTCAGCACAAAGCTGGGCAGTGGCTGGCCGAGGGGAAGGAATGTGGGCAGCAGCAGAACCATTCAGCACCAGCACAACAGCGTGAAAAGGCAAAAAGCTCCAAGGGAAGCCCCGTGGACAATGGCACACAAAAGGCCTTTAGTTGTTCGCCATCAGCAGTTTCCATGCCCATCCCTGGCTGTGCAGAGCCCGCAGAGCACCCAGCAGGCCCTCCCCGTGCACCCAACATGTGAAGCTGGATGCCAGCCCCGGGCTCTGGCAGCTCTGGCAGCCCGGTGGCACGCAGCAGCTGGCAGGGATGTGGCTCTGGGTGGGTTTTAGGGGCACAAAGGTGGGAACTGCAGCAGACTCCACCCCTGCTGTGGGCACGTGGCAAAGCCAAGGTGTTGCCCAGGTCCCAAAGCGCTCCTGTGTGCTGCTCCAGCCGGGAAACTCCTCACTGAGTCTCCTCTGCAGGTGTGTCCCCGTCGGAGATTTTAGCCCCTGCCCTGTACCACGGCTACTACATCCGACCCCGCATCAACAAGCAGCTGGAGAGGGGCACCTCGGAGATCTGCCTGAACCAGCACAAGTTCCAGGTGTTCCTGGACGTCTGCCAGTTCCTGCCCGACGAGCTCAGCGTCCGCACCGTGGACAACCTGCTGGAGGTGGTGGGGCAGCACCCGCAGAAGGCTGACCGCCACGGCTTCGTCTCCAGGGAGTTCACCAGGACCTACATCCTGCCCCTGGACGTGGATCCCCTGCTGGTCAGGGCCACGCTGTCCCACGATGGCATCCTGAGCATTGTGGCTCCCCGGACGGGCAAGGAGGTGAAGGCCAGAGTCAACGAGGTGAAGATAACCCAGCAGGAGCAGCCGCAGGGGGAGGAGGAACAGGCTGAGGAAGGGAAAGAGAAGGAAAAATCCTAAAGGCTGCAGATCTGGGAAGGTGGGGGAGACAGGGATGGGGAATCCGCAGTGCCAGAGCCCTGTTCCTCACCTTCAGTGTTTAGCAGGGCCCTGAGGCAGCCACACTTCTGCTTCTCAAGGCTGATGGCTGGGAACAAGAGGGACTTGGAACTGGAAAAAAGAGTGAGACTGTAGTGTGATTGTGAGTGACTGTAATGCAAGTTTTCTCCTAGGTCAGGTGAGCAGGCAGACCTGCTCTCACCCTTAACTGTGTCCCAGTGGACTGAGCTCTAGCCCAGAAGGGCACTGGGAAGAGAGAAAAGGGGATCCCAGTGCCTGGCTCCTGAGCTGGAGGCTGACATTGGTGGCTGTGCAAGGTGGGTGTTGGTCTGTAAAAGTGCCTGCAGCGATCAGGAGGAGAGAGGAATAAATCTGCCTCTGCTCTTCTCTTGTTTGCCTTGGACTTGTGTTGCTCCTGTGCAGCAGGAGGGGTGGACAGTGCCCAGCTGGCACTGGGCTCACCAGTGGGGACATGGAGGGACTGTGCCACCTCTGTGTCCCACCCCCCTGGCCCAGGGGGAGCCCGGAGTGAGGTGACCTCAAGGACAAAAAGGTGAGAGCAGTGCTGAGCCCTCAGAAGGTCCCTGAGCATCTCCAGAGCTGCAGCTGGAATGAGCCCGAGTGAATGGGGCACAAATGAATGCCCAGCACAGCCTGTGCCCGCCCAGCCCTTTAGCTACGGCACATCCCTCACACACAGCCCTCTGCGGGGGCACTGAACCCAAAATGCTGACGGGAGAGGCTGTGCTCGGAGCCCAGCTGCCTGGCTGTGCCCCAGCCCCGTCTGTGAAGGAGGGAGGGGCTGAGTGTGGCCCCTTTGCAGCCACTGCGGTGCTACGTGAGCAATGTCCCCGTGCTGGGGACAGGGATCGAGTGTGCTGCGCTGGCAGCTGCCGCCCCGGCGGCCCCAGGGCTCAGCAGGTGACAGTTGCCACCCTTGTGTGGTCAGAGCCGAGCCAGGCACACAAAATGCTGTGTCAGTGGCTAAATTTGGGGGTGCCTGGCATGCCTGGTGCTGCTCTCCATACAGAGAGGTGTACCTTCTCCAAAATCCTGGGGGATGTGACTGCCCTCGCTCCCTGTGGCTGTGCCCACGCCGGGGCAGGAATGCCCCCTCGGGCCCTGCCCAGCACATCCCTTGGGGCTGGAACACGGATCTCAGGCTGGTTTTTGTCCCCTGCCAGGCCGAGTGGGGTGCAGAGCAGGGCAGTGCCCAGCTATTTTCAGCTCCCTGCCCTGGGGATCAGTCAGATGAGGAGCAGCCCTGCCTGCCAGGCTCAGGGGGCACAGCGAGGGCACTGAGCCCAGGGCAGAGCTGCTGCCCTCAGTGCCCGACCCCCTGCCCTGACCCCTGCAGTAGAACCAGATAAACTGTCAAAATAAAAAATCACCTTTCCCACAGGCGTTGTCTAAGTCGTTAATAATAATTCCAGGCTTAATTCTGGGCTTGGGGCTTTGAATCACCTGTCACCCAGACCCCAGATGAGGAGGGCTGAGCTCTGAGCCCTGTGGTGGGGCAGAGCCCCAGGGGTGTGTGTGGGCTCAGGCATGGCCACCATTTCCTCACTCCCCTCCCAAAATCTTCCTCAGACCCACAGACACACTCTGGCAGCAGCCCTAAAAGGGCTTTGTCCCTGCCCTGCCAAAAGTGCTGCTGGTGCCTTTGCTCCCTGCAGCTTTCCTGGGATGGGGACGAGCTCCTGCCCTGCCTGGGGAGGGGGGATGGCCAGGAGAGCACTCACACAGCCTGGCACACGTGGCACAGCCTGGACCATCAGTGCCATCTGTGCCTGCTCAGCAGCTCTGGGGGCTGAAACAGCTCCGGGACTGCCCTGGCAGAGGATTCTGAGACAAAAGCAGTGCCCAGAGCAGCACAGAGCTCTCTCCTGCATTTTTGATAGACAGTGCAGCTCTGTGTGCTGCACCACACCTGTCCTGGTGCTGAGGGATGCTCTTGCCATAAAAATGCCCAGAATTAGTAGTGACTATGCCATTCTGTGCCCTGGCCATGGCTCTGCTGTCCCCTCTTCATTCTCCTGGCCTTGGTTTTGCTCTCCCCTGGCCCTGTTTTTATTGTCCCCTGTTCATTCCCCTGGCCCTGGTGTTGGTCTCTCCTGGCCCTGATTTTGCTCTCCCCTGTTGATTTTTCTGGCCCTGGCTTTGCTGTCCCCTGTTCATTCCCCTGGCTCTGGTTTTTCTCTCCCCTGGCCCTGGTTTTGCTGTCCCCTGCTCATTCTCCCCCCGGGGCTCTCGTGCCGGTGTCACAGCTGTGTCACCAGGCGGGACAGGGGCTGGCAGTGCCGGGCGGGCAGGGCTGTCCCCGTTGTCCCCTGCAGGTCAGGCTGTCGCCGCTGCCGTCCCCGCCGGCAGGGAATGCGGGGTGGCAGCCAAGCGCTGCCGGCCCCGCCAGTGTTTGTGATGCTTTTCTGTTTCTCTGCTGGAGCTCAAAGCGGCAGCCCCAGTGTTTGTGGGAGAGGCTGATGGGAACAGGCTCCCAGCCGGTTTTTTTTGCTCCTTCCCCACAAAGCAACAAAGCCTGGCCATGGCTCTGCTGTCCCCTCTTCATTCTCCTGGCCTTGGTTTTGCTCTCCCCTGGCCCTGTTTTTTCTGTCCCCTGTTCATTCCCCTGGCCCTGGTTTTGCTCTCTCCTGGCTCTGGTTTTTCTGTCCCCTGTTCCTTCTCCTGGCCCTGGTTTTGCTCTGCCCTGGCCCTGGTTTTGCTGTCCCTGACCATGGTTTTGCTGTCCCCTGTTCATTCCCCTGGCCCTGGTTTTGCTGTCCCCTGCTCATTCTCCCCCCGGGGCTCTCGTGCCGGTGTCACAGCTGTGTCACCAGGCGGGACAGGGGCTGGCAGTGCCGGGCGGGCAGGGCTGTCCCCGTTGTCCCCTGCAGGTCAGGCTGTCGCCGCTGCCGTCCCCGCCGGCAGGGAATGCGGGGTGGCAGCCAAGCGCTGCCGGCCCCGCCAGTGTTTGTGATGCTTTTCTGTTTCTCTGCTGGAGCTCAAAGCGGCAGCCCCAGTGTTTGTGGGAGAGGCTGATGGGAACAGGCTCCCAGCCGGTTTTTTTTGCTCCTTCCCCACAAAGCAACAAAGCCCGAGTTATCCCAGAAATCACAACAGACGCTGGCTCATTAAAACAACAGAGACAGAGACACAGAGTCTGCAGCTTCCCAGGCAGGGACAGGCTCCTGGGAGCACCTGGCTCTGCAGCAGCCTGAGAACGCTGAATCCCAGCTGTCTGCACACATCTAATCCCAAATTCTGTGCCGTTTCTCCAGCCCCGAGCTGAGGAGCAGTGTCAGAGCAAGGCAGGTCATAGTGCTGCTCACCCAGGGCCCACTGTGACCCTTCCAAAGCAGAATCCTTCTCCTTCTGCCACTCCTGGGCAGCTCCAAGCTCTGCTGTGCGCTTGGGCAGGGGTAGCTGGGGCTGTGAGCCTGGCTGAGAGCGTGGGTACAGCTGGAGAAGGAAGCAGGGCCAGCTCCTGCCACAGAAAGGTGAATTAATGCTCAGCCCGTTTTGGACACCCCTCGAGGGATCAGACCTGCTCAGAACCAGGCTGGCTGCCAGCTCAGAGCTGTGGGGCAGAGGTACTGCTCAAGAATGACATTGAAATGGTATCTTTCACGAGGATCTGTTCTCTTGGACCTGCCTGAGACGAGGTCCCAGGAATTACCCAGTCCTGGGGTGCAGCAGTGACCAGGGCTGTGGTCACTCACTCGGAGGGGTCTCACTGGGGCACAGAGGTGAAATGCAGGTCCCTGTTCCATCTGACCCGCTGGGGCTGAGTGAGAGCTGCTCTGGGACCCTGCACTCTCAGAGGCACAGAACTGAACCCTTTTATCCACCTAGCTTGAAATAAAATGGATTTCCACCATCCCCGGGGCCGTGGGGCAGCAGCAGCAGATTTCACTGAGAGCTCCAGGCAATCCTCAGGCTCCCAGCGGTGCCACCCCTGGCACAGCTTTCCCCGGGGTGCGGGATGGGCAGCAGGACCAGCTCCGAGCTCCCACCCTGCGGCTTCTCCTTTTGCCTGAAGTCCCTCCTCCGGCCCCTCTTGGGACAGAGGGACAGCGGAGGTGACAAAGGCGAGGTCTGGCCGCAGGGGACACGGCAGCGGGGACAGCTCCGGTAGATGGCACACGGGGCCAGCGCTCCGAAACCCGACACTGGCAGACACTCCCCGAGAGCCAGGGGCCGAGCAGGAACCAGGAAATACAAGCTCAGCCCGCCCGGGGAGCTCGGCATCGCCGGGGAAGGAGCAGCGACATGGGCAACCTGTGCGGCTGCGGCCGGCGCTGGTGAGTGCGGGCCGGGCACCGGGCACCGGGCACCGGCACCGGGCACCGGCACCGGCACCGGGCACCGGGCACCGGCACCGGGTACCGGCACCGGGCACCGGGCACCGGGCACGGCTCCGGCAGGATCCGGGAGGATCCGGGAGCTCTGCGCCCTTGTGCTGGGCTGGCCGGGGCTCTGAGCCCTGCCCCTGCCCGCCAGGCACGGGTGGGCACGGGTGGGCACGGTGGCAGGGCTCTGCAGGTGCCCCGGGCACGGCGGCGCCGCGACAAGGGGGGTTTGTCACATCCCAGCCCGGCTTGGGGTGATGCGGCTGGGAAGGAGCTGGGAAATCCCAAATCCCTGTCCTCAAATCGCTGTGTTCATGCCAGAGCTCCCATAATGTGTCCCTTTGAGGGGTCCCTGCCACAAGGGGGGATTTTGTGACATCTCAGCCAGGACGGGAGGGGCAGCTTGGGGTGATGCGGCTGGGAAGGAGATGGGAAATCCCAAATCCCTGTCCTCAAATCGCTGTGTTCATGCCAGAGCTCCCATAATGTGTCCCTTTGAGGGGTCCCTGCGACAAGGGGGTTTGTCACATCCCAGCCCGGCTTGGGGTGATGCAGCTGGGAAATCCCAACTCCCTGTCCTCGAATCTCTCTGCTCGTGCCACAGCTCCCACAAGCTGTCCCTTTGAGGGGTTCAGGCCCTGCCCTCAGCTGTCCCAGCCCCTGTCCCTGCCCGCGCCTGGCCGGGGTTTATTTCTGCTCGGGGAATCCGCGTTGTTGGGATGCTGGGGCTCTTTCTCCCTGGGAGGGGGGGCGGCACTTTAATCCCTCCTGGCTCCTGCTGTGCCCCGCACCTCCTGCTCGCAGAGAAAGGGCAGCACCCGCTGCCAAGTGGGAATATTTTCAGCTCTGCCAGGGGAAGAGCCGTGAATTGCAGACGGAGCTCCCAGGGCGTTCTCCCTCCGACGCTGCGGGTGTTCAAAGTGCGAGAAATTCATCCGGTTGTTAATAATTCCAAGAGGCACAGCATCACCTAGTGGAGGAAGGCTCAGCAGCTGAGGACAGCGAGTTCTTCCAAGCCCCGAGCCTCGAGGAGTTTGGGATTTCGGGGCAGGAGTTGAAGGTGGGAGGTGGAAAGCTGGCCACCACCAAAACTCCCATTTTCATTTCCTCTGCCCTGTGGCAGGGCGTAAATGAGGCACCCAGCAGGCAAGGGCTCGATCAGGGCGTGCCCGGGGCACAGTGTGAGCTCTGTAAAGAAAAGCTGTCACAGCAAATTGATTCTGTCTGCGAGGTCATTGATGAAGGAATTAATTGTGCCCTCGGGTCCGGCTCCTCTGCCCCGTGCAGGGCAGGCCCAGGCTCTCACCAATAAAGGGGCACAGACAGGGCAAGCTGCCCAAATCCAGGCCCCAGGACTGTGTGGGGCAGGAATCAGCCTGGCCTGGGCACGGGGAGAGGCTTGTCTGGGAGGTCATTGATGAAGGAATTGTGCCCTCGGGTCCGGCTCCTCTGCCCGTGCAGGGCAGGCCCAGGCTCTCACCAATAAAGGGGCACAGACAGGGCAAGCTGCCCAAATCCAGGCCCCAGGACTGTGTGGGGCAGGAATCAGCCTGGCCTGGGCACGGGGAGAGGCAGGAGCAGGGCTGTGGGTGCTGCCTGGAGAATCCTCTCAGCTTTGGAGAGCAGGGCAGAGCTTTCCCTGCTCCCATTTCCCGTGGCACACGTGTCCCCATTCCCGGGGAGATGCCTGGCTGTGATTATCCTGCAGACAGGAATAGCTGCAGCCCACACGCTGCCTGCAGTGCTCCCTGCACCGAGGGAGGCAGCCTGGAATGTCTGCCCAGAGAGGGACGGAGCTGCTGCTCTGCCCCACAGGGGCTGGTTTGGGGAAACCCTCCATGCCTGGGGGCTGGCAGGGAGGGAAATGCCCCAAAAGGTGCTGGTTTGGTGGAATCCTGCTGGCAGGAAGGGAAATTTCAGAAAAGGAGCTGGTTTGGTGAAATACTTCATGTCTGGGTGCTGGAGAGAAATGGAAGGAGGGAAATGGAGGAAGGGAAATGTCCCAAAAGATACTGGTTTGGTGGAATCCTCCATGCCTGGGTGCTGGCAGGGAGGGAAATATCCCAAAAGGTGCTGGTGTGGTGAAATAGTTCATGTCTGGATGCTGGAGGGAAATGGGAGAAGGGAAATGTCCCAAAAGGTGCTGGTTTGGTGAAATCCTCTGTGCCTAGCTGCTGGCAGGAAGGGAAGTGCTCTCCACACAAACCTGGGCAAGGAGGAGACGCTGCAGACAGAGGAGGAGGCTGTGAGAGCCCCACAGAGGGGTTCTGCTGTGAGTTAAAGCCCAAATTCCTGAGGAGAGCCCCCAGATTTTGCCCGTGGAGGGCAGGAGGTGCCCCTGTGGCAGCGCTGGAGCCTCGGCCACCCTGCCCTGCCCAGCCTGGTTAATCATTACTGCCCATTCCAGAGCTCCCTGCCGGCATTCCCGGGGTTTTTGTTTTCCCACAGCAGTGCCAGGGCACGGCTGCACAGCCCTGGAGCTGGCACAGGCCCAGCCCTGCCCGGGGCACTGCTCTGTGCCATGCTCAGCCTGTGGGACACGCGGCATTCCCTGAGCCCCGTGCAGGGCTCTGCTGCTGTGAGAGCTGCAATGAGGGCTGGGGGACTCCAGGCAGCCCCTCCAAATGCAGTTTGTTGTATCCGAGGTGTCACAGCAGCCCAGGGTGTGGGGGACAGAGCCTGTGCCTGCAGCTGGCAGCTCCAGCTGAGGCAGGCCTGGGACCTTTAATTTTGGTTACAATGCATTCTATGCTTTTCTTTGCTGAGCATCTTCATACAGAAGAACCAATCTATACCTTGACCTTTACCTATAGCCCATCATAACCACTGTAATTACCACATTCATGTCACTATTCTCCAGTCACTAAAGTTGGTACATCACAGTTGAAGCTAGAAGTTGTTTTTCAGTTTTCTCGCAGCGGAAAACTCGGAGACCTTTTTTCAGGGCTGTTGTGTCTCTCTGATTGCAGGAAGTGTCCTTCACCTTTCAAGAGGAAGAAGGAGAAGCAAGGTAAGGTGTGTGACAGTGCTGTGAGTGACAGAGCCCTGGGGAGGTGACATCCGTGCCCAGCCTCAGGCTGAGCTCCCCCGTGCTCCTTTTGCACTGAACCTTCCTCAGGAGGAGCTTGAGGCAGCATTTCTTTAAATCTTAAAGCAAGGAGGGTGGTGTGCCATGAATCTGGGGAGGGAAGGGACTTTAGCAATGCCTTTAGAACAACCAAACTCCTCAAAACACAGCCAAGGGCTCTCCAGCAGGGCAGGAGCTGCAAACATCCCTCTGACAGCACTCCCAGGATCAAGGGCACTCCTCAAGCCGTGTCCTGTGGCCTTTGGGCCGTGCTGGGCAAAACATGTTTGCCAGGCAGCAGAGGAAATCACAAAGTTGAAGAGGATCTGACTCTCCGAGGGCCTGACAAGAAGCTCTCTGTGCTGTGGCTGTGGCTTTGCCAAGAGCTCTGCGCTCCACGGCGTGCTGCCATCCTGGAAAACCTCATTTCTCCCAAAGAAACAAGGCCAGGCTTTCTTCTTGGACACACCAGGGCTGCGGGAGTCAGATGAGGTGGAAATCTGATTTGTGCCCGGGGGGGGGCTCACACAGCATCGCTGCATCCCAAGGTTGAGCAACAAACTGGTTTGGGCTGACCTCCTGCTGTTTCCTTTGCAGGAGCTAATGGGAGGCACGAGGCTCAACAGCAGCAGCCTGGCAGGAAGGTAAATAATTCCCCAGAGGGGTTCCCTGAGTGTGTGTGGAGGGGACAGAGCTGCCCTGAGCTCCCTGGGCTGCGAGGGCACGGGCAGAACCCAGAGCCAAGAACCCTCTCCTGCTGGGCACAGAGCCCGTGGCTTTTCCCACATTTTTTGCCCCCTGCCTGTAGGAATGTGCCCCCTGTGGAGGGAATGACCAAATTAATCTTTGCTTAAAGAGGCAAAAAGCCCAGAAGTTTCTGTCCCAAAGACACCTCATGGGACCTTTGGGGCTTCACCTCACACCTGGGGCTGCCACCTGGACAGAGGCCAAGAGGTCCTGCCTAGGTAATTCACTAGAAAAGAACAAAGGAAATAATCACTTTTGTGGAAATAATCACTTTTGTGGGGTGTTTTAGCAGCAGCAAGGACCTCTTGCCCCTGGCTCAGTTTTTCTCTGTAAGAGCTTTGCTATTTTGCCTTTTATTAAACCTTTTCTTGTTTCCAGCCCTGCCTCAGAAGCCATCCTGCTGGTTTGATGCTGTTTGGGGTGGCTGGGCTATCTCAGGTGTGATGGTTTCTCAGAGCTCCTAAAACCTGGCTCAAAGAGAAACCCATCAGGGGTGCCAGAGGCTGGGGCAGCGTGGGGAGCTGAGTTCCCAGAGCTTTTTCCCCCTCACATGTCCCCCATGTCACTGTTGAGTAAAAATGACACAGACTCACCACAGGCTGATTGATATAACGTGCTGGATATTTGGAACTGCTCCTTTTTATAAGCTGCTCCCATCCAGGCAGATTCATTGGTCACTTAGTTCATCCATTTTCACCTGATCAGCTAATTAATAAGATGCCCTTCTTACAAACTTTGAGAAAAACAAGGAAACAGAGAGTAGGAAAGCACCACCTCCAGGTCCTTTATAACAATAACCTACAGAGAGTAGGAAAACACCACCTCCAGGTCCTTTATAACAATAACCTACAGAGAGCAGGAAAACACCATTTCCAGGTCATTAATAATAATAACCTACAGAGAGTAGGAAAGCACCACTTCCAGGTCATTTATATTAATAATTTACCCCCAGCTCCCTCAAGTCCCTCAGGCCGATTCTGGGAGTACTCATCTCATTTTCTCTCTCTCTGAGCAGGCTGTGCCAGGCGCGGTCCCCACGTATGAAGACGTGCCAGAGGTGCCCGTGTATGCCACGCTGGGCGGGCCCAGGGCCGGGCAGCAGGAGGACAGCATCCACTACGCCGACATCCAGGTGCTGTCCAGGGCAGGGCAGCGCTCGGCGGCCGAGCTCAGGAGCCTGCAGCTGCAGAACTCCACCGAGTACGCCACGCTCAACTTCCCCAGGGCCAGGCTCAAGTACGACAGCAAAAACGGGACCTTGGTCTAAAGGACTCCGTGGCCTCGCCCTCGTCTTGCAGCAGGAAGAGGAGGTCACAGCTGTGGGTGCAAGGAGACCTTGTGAGCACGGCTGGGAGTTGGGAGAGGTGTGTGTCCCACCTCGGACGTTCTCACTGAGGAGTTTCCCGTCTGATTGTGCGGGGAAAAACGCCTGCTCCCCTTGGGGGAGCTGTCCCTGGAGCTGGCAGCCAGCTCCTGCCAGCCCTGCCAGGTGGCTGAGCTGCTGAAGGCTCAGGGCTGCGGGCAGAAAATCCCTGCTGTGGCACAGCTCCAGCCTTTGGGGGTGCTGCTCTGGGAGTCCAGGAGTTCAGCACTGAAGGGACGTTTTGGTGCTGCCTTTGTGGATTCAAGAGTTCAGCACTAAAGGGAGGTTTTGATGCTGCCTTTGGGAATTCAGGAATTCAGCACTAAAGGGAGGTTTTGGCGCTGCCTTTGGGAATTCAGGAATTCAGCACTAAAGGGAGGTTTTGGTGCTGCTCTGGGAATTCAGGAATTCTGGACTAAAGGGAGGTTTTCATGCTGCTTCTGGGAATCCAGAAGTTCAGCACTGAAGGGACGTTTTGGTGCTGCCCTTGGGAATCCAGGAATTCAGAACTACATGGGAGGCTTTGGTGATGCCTTTGGGAATTCAGCACTAAAGGGAGGTTTTGGTGCTGCTCTGGGAGTCCAGGAGTTCAGCACTAAAGGGACATTTTGGTGCTGCTCTGGGAATTCAGGAATTCACGACTAAAGGGAGGTTTTCATGCTGCTTCTGGGAATCCAGAAGTTCAGCACTAAATGGAGGTTTTGGTGCTGCCTTTGGTAATTCAGCACTAAAGGGAGGTTTTGGTGCTGCCTTTGTGGATTCAGGAATTCAGCGCTAAAGGGAGATTTTGGTGCTGCCTTTGTGGATTCAGGAATTCAGCACAATGGGAGATTTTGGTGCTGCCTTTGTGGATTCAGGAATTCAGGACTAAAGGGCACAGCACCTGGCAGCCAGAAATGCAGAATTAGGAGGGTGCAGAACCATTTCTGTCACTGATGGGCTGTTCAGAGGTGCACCCTCACTCCTCTGTGCAAACAAGTGAGGAGAGAGCTCCTGGCTGGGACTGGAAGTGAAACCAGGGGAAATTGGAAGTTTAGCTGCCTCTGTTTAGGGCACTTCTCCAAGTCCAGCAGCTGCCTGGGACACTGGGAATGAACCCTGGGCAGCTTCAGAGGAGACTTTGGACTTTGCTTCCACTTTTCCCTCATTTTGTGCTGCCAGCCCTGGTTATAAACCCAGTGACACAGAGCACACACCTCGTGGGGCCATCAGCTCCACCTCTCTTTCTGGGTTTGAAATAGTGTCCACAATTCAGCGTAGCAATGGTGCAAACTGGGCAGCACTGGGAGGGCACCAGGGCTCCCCAAAGCCCCTCTGCAGGCACTAAAGCAAGGCCTGGCACGTTCTGCTGCTCAGTCAGGGCCTGCAGAGCAGCTTCTGGGGCAGCCCCGGGCACTGGCAGAGTTTGGAGATGGTTTCTTTTATAAACACACAGAACTTTGCAGTTTATAACTCAGCTAGGTGGGAAAAGCATGAAGGAGCTCCTGCTCGTGGTGAAAAATAAAGCTGCTCTTTATTTTTCTGTGCTGTGCTTGCCAAGGTGGAAATGTTTGAGGACCAATCTTCCCTTTTTCCTACGTGTTTTAATGAGTGCCCGAGCCCCTGGAATGGTTCTTTATCTCCCATTCCCCAAGGAGCTCCGGCTTCCACACCACCCTCGGGGCCGTTCCTGGAAGGACAGCTCATCCTAGAGACAATTCCACGCTCCCATTCCGGTGATTTCCCCAGGTTTTCCGTGGGGAATTGTGGAATCCACGTGTTCTGCAGTAGAGATTTTCCTGAAGGACTCTGTTTTGCACTGAATATTAAAATCTCCCGCAGTGCCCGCGCCTGCCGTGTGTGCCAGACGAGAGCTGATGTATCATTAAAGATGCGATATTCAGTTTTAAGTGAGGAATCCGCACTTTGGGCGAGGCTTTGCGGGGCTGGGGGAACACACAGGGTCCCGCTCGGGGGGCGGCGGTGCGGGGCTGGGCAGGGGCTTCCCCGAGCTGGCTCCGACCCGATCCCGATCCCGATCCCGATCCCCATCCCGGCCCCCGATCCCGGGGCGGAGCCAGCGCCATCCCGCCCCATCCCGCCCCCGTTGCCGTGGCAACCGGAGACGCGCCGGGAGCAGGTAGGGCCGGGAGTGCGGGTGCTGGTACCCACCGTATCCCGTCCCACCCCATCCCATCCCACCCCATCCCATCCCATCCCATCCCATCCCATCCCATCCCATCCCAATCCCTGATGGATTTGCTGTCCCCCTCAGGTTCAGGGGTGCTGGGACCCCCCTTGACACTGAGGTGACATCCAGCATGGGGACTCTGATGGGCACGGGGCCCTGCCACCCCCCCCAGCCTCCTGCAGCCTCTGTGAGTTCCCAGCGGCCTTTTTGTGTCCTTTCTGTCCCTTTTTTGGTGTCCTTTCTGTCCCTTTTGGTGTCCCTTCTGTCCCCTTTTGGTGTCCCTTCTGTCCCTTTTTGGTGTCCTTTCTGTCCTTTTTGGTGTCCTTTCTGTCCCTTTTGGTGTCCCTTCTGTCCCTTTTGGTGCCTCAGAGGAGTTTGGGGTGGCCTTAGGCAGCTCTTTGGGTTCTTGCTGCAGTCACAAACCCCCCGGGTGAATTCCTGCCCCAGGAATCCCCGAGCCAGGAATTCCTCCTTTGTTTTCAGCCCCGATTTAGTGACCAGAAGTGTGCAAGGACGAGGGCTGGGGTCATGCTGGAAGTGGCCAGGAGATGGCAATGCCACCAGCCCAAAGCCACCACGCCTGGCCTGGGCTCTCCCACCCCGGGGGCAGCTGCTGGGGCACCCTTTGGTGGCATCCTTTGTGTGTCACCGCCCCGAGGGGTTGGAGACACCGGGCAGAGGATTCCTTCGGAAAATTCAGGGAGAATTCTGAAGCTTCGTTCCTGTTAGCGAGAGGATTCTTGCAAAAGCAGCACTGAGAGCACCTCTCATGTAAAACTGACAGCAAAAAACTTTCCCTGCCACAAGCAGCTGGGGGTTGGAGACACCGGGCAGAGGATTCCTTCGGAAAATTCAGGGAGAATTCTGAAGCTGAGAATTCTGAATGTTCCTGTTAGCGAGAGGATTCTTGCAAAAGCAGCACTGAGAGCACCTCTCGTGTAAAACTGACAGCAAAAAACTTTCCCTGCCACAAGCAGCTGGAAACTTGGGGGTCAAGCACAAAGGGAGAAGTGCAATTTAATTTTTAAAGGTTATTTTTAGCCCACACAACCCCCCCGTGCCCATTTGTGTCCCCACAATGGACAGAGAATGGCTCAGCACGTCCAGCCTGGTTTCTATTCCCTGCCATTCAGGCAGAGATTAAAAAAAAACCTCCTGCAGAAGGAAATCTTTGATGAGAAAACCTCTGAGCAGGGCTGTACCTGAGCCCGGCAGGGAAAGGAGAACATTTGGAACATTTTGCCTTTGCTGGGCTGGTGTTGGGGCAGGAGGGAGAGGGGATGGCAGGGAGCCCCTGCATCCCAGACTGCAGTCCCAGCTCTTCTTGGTCGACCCAAAAATCTCAGCATCCTCTTTGTCATGTTGTAAATCCCCTGTGAATTTGTGTTTACCATGTAAAACACAGGTGGTAAATATATATAATGCAATAATGTAGTAAATTATTAGTCGAGAAGAGCATTTTAAAGTCCACAGTGGAAGCTCAGAGTGTGTTTTGTTGTTTTTTTCCTTCAAAATTAGGTCGCTTTTTGTCTCATGGGGGAACCACTTCGTTTTCCCACCAAATTTTATTGGAATTGCACAGGCATAAGCTACTCAATTGCATTAAAAAACGGGGTTAAATATTTATTTAATGGCATTTTGAAGCTCAAAAGTAAACGGGATCAAGGCTCCAACCCCCAGCAGCTCCAGCTTACGAGGCTTTGTGCAAAGCCTCGCTGTAATCTGTTGTTTTGCTTAACAGATGTGGTATTAGAACCGATGAAAACATAAAAATCTCCTCTCGAACGGAATTATGAAAAGCAGGGAGAGCAAACGTGAATAAATGAAAACGGGAGGAGAAGGAACTGCCTCCTTTGGGGCTGGTTACAGAGGGAAGCGACCTGTTGCTTTTCTTTCCGTGTTTTAGCTGTGCCAGGCTAAAATCGTGAAATTATGCCATTGATTTTTCCTCGGGATGCTTCAACACTTAGGCAGGGGAAAAAATAATAATAAAAAAAAAGTTTGTTTTTAACTGCGTCTCACACTTAGAAATGCGTGCAAGACATTTTGGGAGGGCAGCGGGGTCGGTGCGGGCAGTGCCGCTCTGTGCCCTCTGCCTGGAGCGGTTTTCACCCATTCCACTTTGATTTTCCTTTTCTTTCTGTCTCCCTGGGCACCTCCTGTAAGGTGACACCAACTTCGAGAGCAGCCTGGGGACACCCGATACTTGTTTCTGTGATGGGTGCGCTTATTGGCGTGGGGTTGTGTTTAATTGTCTGAGCGTTTTCTCTCGGGCTTTGGGGGGAGTTTTATGATTGTTTTTTCGCTGAAAACCGCAATGTTCAAACCTGCAAACCTCCCGGCTGTCGTGGCCTGCCTTGCAGCTTCCTGTGGCCGCAGAACCATCACCTCTCGGTGAGAGAAGATCGCTTTGCTCCCCGTGCAAGGCATCACCTCCCTTCCTTCCTCCTCCTCCTCCTCCTCCTCTCGCCCCCCACAGCCAGCAGAGCTCGCTGTGTATGGCGGGTTTGAAAAATCCCATTTACGCAGCGGGTCCGGGAGGATTTTTTTTTCAATCCTTTTGGCTGGAAATGGGTTTCAGATGTTTTTTTCCCCCCGCGCCTGCATCTCGTGAAGCCGCGGCGTTGCCGTGACAACGCGGTGACATCCCTGCCCGCTGCGCCCCCTCCTCCCGCCGAGCACGCCCACAGCGAGCCGCGCTCCGGCTCCGCTCTGCCCGGCCTGCACAGATGGGACCATGAGCGCCCTTCCCCGCGAGCTGCCGGCCTTTGTGCTCGCGAGGAAGAGGAGGGAGAGCAGCCCCGAGGCGCCGGCAGCGCGGCCCCGCAGCCCCTGAGCCCCCCGGCCGCTCGCCCGGGACGATGCTCGCCTGCCTGGCCAGGGGGAATCTGCTGGATATCCTTCAGGAGGGCTTCACCGAGGTAAAGCCACGTCCCCGAGCTTCCCCCGGAGGAAGGCGGGGTGGTTCGGGGCAGAGTTGTGCGGCGGGGAACGCGGGGGGAAGCAGCGAGGTTCGTCCTGCGGCGGGAGTTGGGTGAGGAGTTTTTGCAGGAGGGGTTGGTGAAGCTCGGGGGGTTTGTGCTCTTCCCGCTGCTTTGCTGCTGTCCCGGGAAATCAAACAAGCTGCTGGAGGCTGTGGGGCAGCGTTTGGTGGGTGAAATCCCGAGGGATGCGCGGTGTCTGTGTGCTGGGGGCTGTAAATCTGCTTTATGGACTGGCATTGCTTGGAGAGGCTGGCAAAAAGCTGTTCGGGCTTTTCCTCCCCGTCGTTTTCCGAAAATTGGATCCTCAGGGGACTGGAATTCAACTTGGTGGGGAAAATGTAATTTTCAAAGTGTTTTTCATTCGCCTGTTGTGCTAGGGGAGTAATGAATTGTAAAATAAGGACATGCACCAAGAAACGGCAGAGATGGGAATCCCAGAGATGGGACTTCCCGCTTTAGAGGGCACAAAAAATGAGTTTTGTTGGGTGTTTACACACAGCAGTGTCCGGGCAGCCCACGCAGGAACACGATCTGTGTCTGTGAGCTGAAAAGGAAGAAAAACCGAGGGGGATTTGCTGGAACCACAGAACTGCCGCTACTTTATCTCTCACTTTTGGGGGGTTTTATTCTTTCTGTTTACTGGTGGGTGACTCCTGAGCCGTGCAGCTCCTGGGTGCTGTGCTTCCACGAGCCCAGGAAATGAATATATCCACAGAAAATGAATGTATCCACAGAAAATCTCCTCCTCCTCCTCAAATGAATACCACAGAAAATGAATATCCACAGAAAATGAGCCCCGGACATCCCTGCTGGGCTTCCCGGCTCCTCTCCCCTCCGGGAAAACCAACTGGGGGTGAAACCTGAGCCTGCCCCGGCCCCAGCGCTCCCCGGGCTGGGCTGGAATGGCTCCATCCCCTCCTCCTCCTCCTCCTCCTCCTCCTCCTCCTCCTCCTCACAGTGTCAGGCTCATTTTTAGCCAGCCAAGGTCTGGGTTTAGATCACGCTCGAACTTCCTGTGCTCGGGGGCAGCACATCCTCCTCAGGCGCAATTAGTAACTTATTTATTAAGAGTAATCAGTGATGGGAGCGAACCCCAGCGGTGTTCGGTGCCTGGCCCTGGCTGGTTTTACCCACGGGAAGAAACTTCCCTCTCCCACGAGAAAAAAACAGATTCTCGGGGTCTCTGCCTCCTCACAGCCCCCAACAAAAGTAAAACTAAACTGGGTTTAGAGGGAGGAGCTGTGATTTGCCAAGGATGTGCATCACAGGCTGGAAATGAGAGAGGAGCTCTCATTTTCGTGCTGGGGCGATCACCAGCTGTGCCCGTCCCTGTTTGCCTGTTTCGGTGTTTATTTACACAGAAATTAAGGTGTGAATAAACACATTGTTTGTGTTTATTGTTATTTATTGTGCTGAGCGAACCCAGCACAGCCGAGAGCCTCCGGGGAGGTTCCTTTGTCCCCTTGCCTGCTTTTCCCTCTCCCTCTCCATCCCTCCGACTGAGGGCACCTCAGCAGCCCAATTATCCCCTAATTAGCGCTGCATTGTCCTCCTGCACAGCTCTCCCTGCACTGCTGCTTTCTCCACCGTGCGAGGAGTCACATCCTGCTCAAGGCGCCCCGAAATTGCTGAATTGTCACTTTCGAGCCCCTTTATTTCCCTTTTTCCCTCTCCTTCCAGAGCCAGAGCCTGGTGGACGCTGTCACCTGCAGACATCTGAAGCCAGGATGGTTTTGTTTGATGTTGAGATGCAGCAAAGCCCCCCCCGTGGGCATTAAAGCCCCTCATTAATGGCCTGCCCTGCCTTGAAGGTGTTTCCCTGCTGTTTGTGGGGACTTCTCCGGCTCCCAGGCAGATCAATAATGCAATGGCACAGCTGGATGGGGCCCTGGGGATGCGTGGCTGCTAAAAGCAGCAGTTTATAATGAAAGGGAACCGCACAGAGGGGTCTCATCTGCTCTGACTCTGTCCATGTGGCCCCA